ACAGCTAATCTTTACATGGACATTGTTGAAACTGAGATCAAATCTAAAAAAAATCAGATCATAATATGATTACAATGAAAATAAAACGGAAAAAGAAGGACTTATTTTGGCGACTCAATGACAGCTTACTAAGAAAAGAAATAATAATAAAACAAGCAAAAGAGACTTCGAGACTATTCTTTCAAGAAAATCAAAATAAAGAAACAGATTTAAGAATGGTATGGGACGCCAGCAAAGCGGTGATGCGGGGCTTTTTCATCCAAAAAGGGGTGGAAAAGAGGAAAATTGAGAGTAAGAAGATTGAAGAACTAAATCATTAACTTTGAAATAAGGAAAAAGAATTAAACTTAAATCTGGGAAATAAAGAACTTTTAAAAGAGATTAAAAGACTACAAGTGCAGATTGCAGTGTTGACAGTAGAAGAAATAGAAAAGAAATTAACATTTGTCAAACAAAAACAATTTGAATTCGGAAATAAGCCCGGCAAATTGTTAGTGTCGAAAATAGGGCGAATGAAAAAGAAGAGATTAATTTCGGAGATGAAAGATGAAGGGAAGACAGTTACAGATTTAAAGGAGATTAAGGCAATCTTTGAAAAATACTACTCAGAACTGTATAAGGAGGGGGGGGAAAGGGCCCGGATTCAGAAATGAAGTGCTAAATTATATTCAACTATATACGTTGGGTGAGTTAAATGAAGAGCAGAAAACTTTACTAAATGAGAACATTTCTATGATGGAGGTGATAGAGGCAGTAAAAGGGCTGAAAAAAGGGAAATCTCTGGGACCTGATGGGCTGATGGCAATCGATTATATAGTGTTGTTGGATGAACTAAGTGCACCTATGCACCAGCTGTTTAATGAGATCAGACATATAGGTATCCCTGAGACATGGCGGAATGCACACATCACCTTTATACCAAAAGAAGACAAAGATTTATTACATCCAGGAAACTACAGACCGATCTCTCTTCTCAACCAAGATTATAAGATATTTACTACAATATTAGCAAACCGATTAAAGAAGGTTCTTCAACAAAAAATACAAGAAGAACAATGTGGATTCCTTCCCAGAAGACATATGAAACAAAATATTAGAAAAATAATCAATCTGATGGAATATTATGAAAAAAAAAAAAACAGGAAGAAAGTGGCATTTATATTTCTAGATGCTGAGAAAGCGTTTGATTCAGTGAATTGGGAGTTTATGATACAAGCCTTGGAAACCATGGATTTTGGAGAAAAATTCACAAGTTGGATACAGGCAATCTATAGGACACAATATGCACAATTGATAATCAATGGGGAAAGAACTGAATGATGTGAAATAACAAAAGGGACAAGACAAGGTTGCCCACTATCACTTTACTTTTTATCTTAGTGTTGGAGATTCTAATCAATCAGATAAGACAAAATGATCAAATTAAAGGGGTACAAATTAAAGGATATAGCTATAAGATAAGAGCATATGCAGATGATTTAGCCCTAGTTTTAGAAGACCCTAATGGAAAGATCAAGACTTTGGACAATTAGCAGGTTTAAAAATCAATAAATCTAAGTCAAAGATACTTACCTGGAACATGTCAGAAGAGGAAGAACGGGAACTACAAAAGAGATCAGACTTCCAAACTTGTCATAAAATTAAACATTTGGGAATTGTACTGGCCAAAAAGATAACCAACCTATATGATAATAACTATGAAACTTTATGGAAGGACATAAGGAAAGATATGGCCAGTTGGAAAGATTCGAATCTAACATTTCTGGGTAGAATTTCTTTGATTAAAATGTCATTACTTCCTAAACTAATGTTCTTATTCCAAAATTTATCAATTTTAATCAGTGATAAACAATTCCCGAAATGGGAGAAAGAGATATCTCACTTTATCTGGGCTGGGAAGAAACCAAGAATTAAATGGAAATGTTTAAAAGATGGAAAAGAAAGAGGAGGCCTGGGCGTACCAGATCTTAGATTATACTATTACTCATGTTCCCTGGAATGAATCAGCATATGGTTCAAATTGGAAGATGAAAAGATGTTAAATCTGGAAGGTATAAATAAGATGTATGGGTGGCATGGATATCTATGGTACAATAGACTTGATAAAAATAAAGATTTCAATGACCATAACATTAGAAGAATTCTTTTGAGAGTATGGTTGAAGATAAAAAACAAAATTTACAGAAGAATACCCAGCTGGCTATCACCACAAGAGGCATGGAGGATTGGACTTACTAATAAAATCACAGAATGTCTGCAATATCAAGATCTTCTATAATGGATGGGAAAACCACCTTCTAATTTGGTCTCCCACTGTCAGACATTTTTTATTTTTCTTTATTTTTCCTCTGCCCCATAGTGCATATTGTTTTAATTGTTTTAATTTTACGTATTGTTTTCAATTTTTGCTTATTGTTTTAATTTAGGTTTTAATTGAGACTTGAATTTAATATATTTTTAATGGGGGGTTAATATGACATCCCTTCAAATATTTAAACACGGCTATCATATCACCTCTCGACCTTCTCTTCTCCAGGCTAAACATCCCCAGCTCCCTAAGTCGTTCCTCATAGGACCTGGTTTCCAGACCCTTCACCATTTTAGTTGCCCTCCTTTGGACATGCTCCAGTTTCTCCACATCCTTTTTGAATTGTGGTGCCCAGAACTGGACACAGTATTCCAGGTGAGGCCGGACCAAAGTAGAATAGAATGGCACTATTACTTCTCTTGATCTAGAAACTATACTTCTACTGATGCAGCCTAAAATTGCATTGGCCTTTTTAGCTGCTGCATCGCACTGTTGACTCATGTTCAACTTGTGGTCCACCTGGATTCCTAGATCCCTTTCACATGTAGTCTCATTCAGCCAGGTATCCCCTGGCTGAATGTCATATAGTATTCTGTATGATATGTTCTGCAAATAAAATCAATAGACAGGGTGATAAAATGCAGCCTTGTCAGAGCATCTTGCCAACTGGAACTCGGGTGAAACAGATTGGGGCTTCCCCGGAGTCAATTGCCATGGAAACCACATACGAATCTGTCCAGGAGCCAGCCCAAATAGGAGTGGAAAAGATCCACTCCTATTTGGATTAGTAAAAAGATGCCTTAGGTGGTCCCACTCCCACCCACCCCACTCCGGGTGGCTTGAAGCTGCTCCAGGGGTGTGCAGCATCAAAATGCCCTGCTTCTGGAGCAGCTTGAAGTTGCCCCCATCTGAATGGCTGGGTGGCTTCCAGGCGGCTTCAGGGCATGCGGCGTCAAAATGTCATGCCCCCAAGCCACCTGGAAGCCAGCTTTTATGGATGGTCTGTTTGGCCCCTCACTCTATTTCTCTATATTTTGTTCTTACAGTGGCTTCTCATCCTTTGTACAGGTTATTTAGCTGGACAATAAAATATTCTGACACACCCATTTCTTTTGACGTGATCCATAGTTTTTAATAATGTGCACAATCAAAGGTTTTGCTATAAAGTACAAGTTGATTTTCTTCTTAAATTGTTGGATGTGTTCTATTATTAAATATGTATGTTTGTAATATGATCCATAGTGCCTCTTCCTTTTCTGAACATAGCTTGAACAGCTGCCATTTTTGATGCATATATGATAAAAAAAATTGATTTAAAATTTTGTTCATTACTTTACTTCATTGGAAGATTAATACAATTGTCTGATGATTACTGAAATCCCTGGTGTGTCCTTTCTTCAGGATTGCAATATATATTGAATGTTTCCAATCTACTGGCAATTTCCTCTCATATTTGTTGAGACAATTGTAGTTTGAATCTAAATTAATTTTAGCTGTGTTTGTAAGCCATCTTTTCCTGATTGTTTATTTTCCCAATTGCTTTGAAAGAGGCTAAAACTGTGGATTTATTAACAAAAGGTTCTTCCTTGAATGAATCTGTCATCCTTTCATCTCTTTTCAAGAGTTTTTCAATGCCTTGTTTCATTCTTTTTTATTTTTTTCTTGATCATTTAGTGTGTTCTCCTGTTCGTCAAATAGCATCCCTGCTCTTGGGTTGAATTTTCCTTTGGTTTTTCAGATCTTGTGCAAGAGGTCTTTTGTTCTATCTTTTTTGTGTCTTTTATTTCCTTATATTAATTATTATATTACCAAACAGCACAAGTCACTGATTCAGGATTCTGATCCTATTTTTGTCATCTTTTACATCTTTTGTTTTTTACCTGTCCTTAACTGTTTTAAGAGCTTAATCTGTCATCAGATGACAATTTTCTCCTTTTTCCATTCTCCCCTAACAATATCCCTGGTTTTGCCCCCAAGTTCTTCTAGCCTTCTAGTGTAGATTTATTCTTTTCAATGTCTTCAAATTCTACAGCACTGTTCTTTGGATTGTACTTTGGCACAACAAAGTACAATCTTTGTTGTACACTTCTTTGGCTTTACACTAATTTGATATTAGCAAGTCATGGTCTGTGCCACAATCTCCTCCTGTTCTTGTTTTCACAGAGAGAATGGAACTTTTTCACTCTTCTACTTACAATTATGTAGTTCATTGAATTTCTATATTGCCCATCAGGTGACATCCACATACACAGTTGCCTCTTTGGTTGCCTGAGGAATGTGTTTGCAATGAAAAAACTGTTGGCATCACAACATTCAATCAGTTCCTCTTCAGTTTTCTTTTTTTAAAATATAGGCCAAAAATTCCTATAGTATTTGGTTCTGCTCTGTTTCATATTTTTGCATTCCAATCACTTGTGTTTATCATGTCACATTTTGGTGCGTGATCTGTTTCCTCCTAGACTCCAGTAGAGAAGCTTTCAATGTTTTTCTCTTCTGACTCTATAGTTGGAACATAAAACTGGATAATAGTTACATTGCTGTTGTGTGCCTTCCTGATGTATGGCAACCCTAACCATGGTTTTGAAAAACCATGGGGTTTTCTTGGCAATATTTATTCAGAAGATATTTTACCTATGCTGTTCTCTGAGGTTGAGAGAATGTGGTTTTCTAAAGATCACTCAATGGGTTTCCATGCCTAAGCAAGGACTTGAATCCTGAACTTTAGAGTCACAATCAAACATGCAAACCACTACACCATAATAGCTCTCTAGATATATTGATGGGTTTCCTCTGAAATCTTAGTGATATCATTCAATGAGATTTTGTATTTTATCTCATTTTTGCTACATCTCCTCTATTACTGCTACCCCATTTCCTGTTCGATTTTCATTTCCTGTCTAAGACAGTGTCTCATTCTTATCCATTTTAGTTCACTCAACCCAAATATTGCAATGTTTATACATTTTCTGCTTTACAATGTCTAGTTTCTTCTGATTCATGCTTCTCAATATTCCAGGTGATCCTAACTTGTGAATATCCTTTAATATAGTTCTTTTCTTAAGCTTTCCATCTAAGATGAGTGCTGTGCATATTAACATACACAGAATCATTTCATGCTGATTTTATTCCTGCCTACAAAGATTCCCCTTCATTTTAGGGTGCAAATGACAGCCATACAGCATAGTCAAGAATCTTTATGTAAAAGAGAGACAGAATCTATTTGCTTATTGGATGTCTGGGAAAGCTGCCAACACGTGGCTGATAAATGTTCTGAATTTAATGGAATACTTATTTATTTCAGTTGAAAACAATGTTCTTACTGCAGTTTATAAATTAAGATTATTTTTAAAAAAAACTCAAAAGATGTGCTGATGCTGCTAAAGTACTTAGGTGTTGTATTTATCTGTAGCTGTGCTATATATTTTTAAATTAATTTTGAAAATTACGATTATTTTATTGGAAACAGGGGTAGGGTCCTCAGACATCTATTATGATAGAAAGGTGAGAAAGACAATATTACAATATTTGTTATACATACAATAAAACAATAAGTGAATTAATAACAAAATCTTGAACATAGGGGGGATGCAGATGGTGAAAAACACTGTTTTCAATCCCAGGAAGGGGAGGGGCCACCAGATGCTGGGAACCCTATCCCCTTCCTGAGGGTGTCATCGGAGCAACGGCCCGTCCACATGGCGGGCGCTACGATGACGTCTTTCTGGCTCAGTGTCTGCACACGCTGAGCTGGAAGAGATGCCAAAGGGGTGCGCCATGCCTCTTGTGGTGCCCCTTTCGTGGCTTGCGGAAGGAGCACTATTTTAGCGCTTCTTTCGCAGACAGTGAAAGGGAGAATCGAGGCCGAGGTGTCCGGCAGCCTTGGCCTCGATCCTCCGCTTCCCAGGGCAGCCCAGGGCTGCCCGTCTGCATCCCACAATAGTTATTTTAAGAGCAATAGCAATAGCAGCTTCTTTTATATACCACTTCATACCATATTATGTAGTCTCTAAGCAGTTTACAACTGTAAGCTAATTGTCCCCAACAAGCTGGATACTTATTTTAGCGACCTCAGAAGGATGCAAGCCTGAGTCAAGCCTGAGCCCTGGTTGGTATTGAACTCACAACCTTGTGGTTTGTGAGTGAGTGGCTGCAGTACAGGCATTTAATCTCTGCACCACCAGGGCTCTAAGAGATCCAATGTCAGGGACAGCCTGGTGGAGGACTTGGAGGACTCTGAGGGGGAGGATGTGGGGCCTGATCC